TTCTTTGTATCCCGATTAACGTAACTCAGTTACATGTAAGTCCTTACTCCACAAGCTGATTACTTTATATCTGCTGGGTAGATTGTAGGGCTGCACAATTAATCAACAATATTATCGAAATCAAGTAGAGAATAAAGTCTTATGATTTAATACTATCATCATTTATTAGTTGATTCTGATATTAATCTGAATATAGAACATTATTATATCAAACGGATTAGTGGAGTAAAAAATACAAAGTAGCAGAAAATGGAATATACTCGAGTACGAGTACCTAAAAATCGTAGTTAAGTACAAATAATTGAATAAATTACTTCCACCACAATTGATACATCAGTTACAGAAGGTTGTTTGAATTAAAATAGAGAAATAAACAATGAGTCGATTAGTCAATAAGTAGATTAATCGGAGAAAAACTGGCTGAAATAAATAAATGAAGATAATCTCAGTTGGAGCTGAAAACACTCTTATCTTGCTTTATTAACATTTAATAGAATAATAAAATAATACGTTTAGATGGTCATCTTAAAGTTATGAGAATATAATTATATCTCTCCCTATAAGTAAGTAGTAAGTAAGTAAGTAAATTTAATTTATAAAGCACATTTAAACACAGTTAAACTGACCAAAGTGCTTGTACAGGTATGACTAAAAAAGGCAAATATACAGAAAAACACATTGGTGAATAACTAAAAAGACAAATAATACAGGAAAAACACATTGGTGGTTAAACTAAAAAGACAATAATACAGAAAAACACATTGGACCAATAGTCAATAATTCATAAAACATGGAATAAAAGAAAACCTTCAATATTAGGGACACAACACAGAAATACATAGGATGAGCAGGAAGTACAGGGTTAAGTGACAGGGAAGGCCAGGGCAGTTAAAAGTGGGTTTTTTAGCCTGGTTTGAAGGGCAGAAATGGAGGGGGCAGATCCAGGGGGGGCTGGTTCCACAGAGTTGGAGCAACAACTGCAAAAGCTCTATCCCCCCCTAAATACAGTCAGTGGTCTCACCTGAAGAGGTAACCATGACAACAAGTCTGCAAACACATGTTGGGTTGATTTAGTGAGGTGTTTGTCCAATAATAAACACTGTGAGGCGTTAATCTGAAAACTGAGCATTTTGATCAATTGTTCTGCACTTTGTATTAAAAAGGTTCTCTCAGTATTTTGTGTTTTAAAGGTAAAAATATGAAGTTTCTGTCATTTGAACTGATGTGAAAACCAAATTTAGGCAACCGTAAAGAACTGTAATATGAGCTTTCTGTCAAATGTTTTTCATTTTCTATGTCTAGGACGGATACGAGAAGGTGATTAAGGGTGAAAATATGTGAGAAAGGATCTAACTTTATAAACTAATTTGACTGTTATCAAATGTAATTTAACTCAAGATCTCATTGTACTGAGGAAAGTTTCTAAAAATCAACCCTTAATCTTCATCCTTGTAAAGAGCAGAGAGAGAGAGTGACGTTATCCAGTCCGATTTTCTTCTGTACGTTTGAAATTGAAGAAAGCTATTTTAGGAAGCCGAGGAAAAAAAGACGAGGAAGGAAAATCCTCGTGTGAATCAACCATTGTTTTAAAAAAAACAGAACTCGATTCTCCTTTTGATCCTGTAATGTTCTCACACTCAGACAGACTTCATTCACTGTTGTTCATAAGGCTGAAAATATCTGTTCTCTTTCCTGGCATCCATGTTTTGTGTGAGCTGCAATTGTGTCACAGTCTCCATCACTGCTGCTAATTCACTACCTGTTTACATCCTCCATCAAAGATAATCACGTCCTGTTGTTTTATCGTACTGAAATAGATTTTTTTACTGGAATACTTAGGGAAAAAAGCTGCACTTTTATGGGATTTTCTGTGGCAGCTGTGAGACTTTTTAATCACGAGTTCATTGTGAACTGTTCTCTCTCTATGGCTGAGATTTATCTATAGAGCAAGGGCAGGTGGTGCGAATGAACACTATCCTCTGTTGACGCAGAGCATTGATACAGTGGGAAGTGACCACTTAAGAGTAACGTGAGACGGGAGCTGCTCGTTAGTAATATCAGCACTTGGTAATCAGAGTTATTTACCACAGGAGGAAAAAACTCGAGGCTCTCACATGTTCACAACATCACGTCTGAAATGGTGGAAAGGAAAAAACTGAAGTGGGGGTCAAGAGGTGACGCTTGCTAACGCTTCTCAACAAACGCCACTTTAAATGGGGGGGCAACGAGAAGGTTACCAGCAGCACAAGAGTCGTTAGCTACTGAGCCAAAAGCAATGCAGCAACATCTCGCATTATATAGGAAGCAGAGCTAAATTGCACCGCTGTGAATTCTATATCTTGAACATAATCCCATATTGAGTGTGCAGTCTGTAGGAGTGAGGTGCCTTAATGAGATTAAAGCCTGGTGAGTGACTGAATAAAGCCATGTCCCACTTCCCATTCATAAGCTCTCTCCCCCCCCCTGTTTTATACCAACGGTCACAACAAATATTAGTAGTAAGATGTTCACGTTTTATCTCATTTTCGTCGGTATTTTGTGCTCGAAATGGACATTTTCTGAAAATAAAAAAATGGGGGCTATTAAAATAATGATGTAATGTATCTTTATTTATAAAACACTGATCAAAACAAAGGTACAAACTGAGGGCGAGAGAGTGAAACGAGGGAGTTGCAATCTGCAACTGCTGAATCCTACAAATCTGTCCTTTAAATAAATTGAAATTGAATAAAATACACATATCAGAACTGTTTTCCATATGTGTAATGTGTTGTGTGTCCATTTATGCTTCCTTAGCTCCTTTAAAAACAAATTTCTTTTTTAAATCTGTTTACAACGGTGGTGAATGTCCATTAACCATCAAACTAATGCAGGATTAAGTCATTTTTAGTACAACTCTAATACAGCCAGTGTAGCCAAAGCAGAGTACGTTCCCTACTGTGTTATTTTGACCAGATTAGGGCCATTACGGCTCAGAACTATTGATGTGTTATTGAGGCTGAGATGAAGAAAACAACAACAACCAATGACTCATAAACACATGATTGTGAATGCTGACAACCTGTTGCTGGAGTTGTGACTCTTTATCCTGATGACCCTCTAATCCTGACCTCTGCTGGGGTCGTGTTGGACTGTTGAACGTGGAGCAGTCCTCCTGCGCTGCACAACATAGCCTCTCGTTCTGGTTCAGGTAAAAGGTGGAGGGGGTGTCAAGATGGCTGCTCGAGCAGAAAGAAAAGGGCAGGTGTTTAAAATCAACTTAAGCTACACATCAAGAGTTTATTAGATCTGATTTTGGGACGGTTTTTAATTGCTTAAAGGATCTCATCAGTGGTTTTGCATTTTAAAATGTTTAAAATTAAAGTTTTTATATACTTTTCCTACCATAAGACAATAATCTAGCAGATTCATTGAAGGTTATTTTATCCCAGGAAGGAAAACACGCTGTGATTGATTTTGTTTATTGTTAATTTATGCTGTTGTTTGAACAGAACAGTTGTTTTTAATATAGTTTTATTTATTTATTACATTTTGTTAACCAGAGCTGGTTGATTGGATAGGAGCACTTTCCGTCCATTTTTGTGGATGAATACATTTAAGCTTGAAATATTGTATCTCAAGACTTCATAGTTAAATAAATAAATCCACATTTTAATAAGTCCAGTATGTGTTTATTTTGTCGCAGTGAAATTATTGTTAATTGTTAATGCAGAGCAGGCTGCTAGAAACAATCTACATTAAAACTGCATCACCCCTTATTAATAATGATGTTTAGTGTGATGGGTTGCAGAGCTCAGGCAAGTATCAACAATATTTTAGTAGATTTTCATGCTGCAAAAATCAATGTAAACCAATAAAAACTACATCTCTACATTAGAAAGAAGTAGTTAATGAGCAAAAACACACAAGTTTGGTCTTGCGTCCATCAACCCTTCAACTAATTACACACTGAATACTTTAAATCACTGGTTTCCCAAGCAGATCTATTCCAACAGGAATTGTTTTCCATTAAATTCCACTAAAATCATTTTGTGACAGTTGAATCTTGCCTAGACAATTCGGTTTTTACTGTCAAAGCGACGTCATGTTGTGTGGTAATGTCGCTTGGAGCAGGAGCTCTTCCTTTGTGGTGCCTTCAAGGAAGCTCCATCTTCCAACATTTACATGTTGGCTGTCAAAAAGCGTTGTTTTCACAAGCTATGTTCTCAGGAAATTAAACTCGGAAGACGAACAATAAGCAAACATGGATGTCCTGGAAAGGACGAGGAATTTGGCACAGGCTTTAAGAAGGTTACTGTTTGGCAGCAGATTATTAAGTGGTTTAGAGGGCAAAAGAAAATGTGAAAGAACCAGACATGACAACAGAAACACAACAGAACAACAAAAAAATGACAAAATGTATTAAATGGAAAACAAGAAACATTGAAACTGTTTTAATACTTGTTTCAAATTGAGTTCTTGGGTCTCCACTACACCTGAGTAAGTTCTGTTTACTGAAGAAAGGCTGAAGGATATGGTTGAAAGCTGCAGAAAAAGATAATAAATGAACTTTGAGTTTAGAATATTGAATCACAGGCATGTTTAAATATAATTTACACATTAAATATGTTACGTTTTTCATTGATTTTGTGGCCACTTGGAGACAGAAGAACTCCAAAACAAGCTCTAACATATATATTCTTATATATCCGACAAACACAGAACAACATTATAATCTCAAGTCATGTTTCTAGTCACCTAACAAATGTTAAACCAGTATTCACTGCAGTTTTAGTTCTGGTTTGGTCTCCTCCAGCTGTGTTTTTAGCTGCTAGATTCTCAACTTTCCACAGCAACTAGTGGCCATTTTCTATTTGCTACTGCGGGTT